CTGAGACAGGTACCATAAATATTTCATGCTTTCTTCCTCTTCTCCCTGGTGCCTAATGTCTGTTGGAAAAATATTTTGGAGTCTCTTTTCCCCTTGCTGCACCCTCCATAACTCTTGTTGACACTAATGGAGGCACAGTGTATAATCGGCAGTGAAAATACATCCTTCGCAGCTGCAGATCCATCTTCTTTCCTTTTCCTTACTGTGCTCAGTACAGCTGCATTTGAATGCAAGGTGCACAGCAGCTAATTCTGGTCACAGAAACCCCTAGGGCAACGTTGCTCTCTCTGCCTCGGTACAGAGTCAGGAGTGCAGAGTAGCTGCCCGCTGGCACTGACTTCCTCCCAGAAGCACAGCAGAGTGGAGGCCTCGGGAGTCTCTTCTCTCCCTGCCCTTTGCAGAGACATCCAAGTTCCTTACCTGAGTAGCCTCTCGAGGTGGCTCTTCCATCTTCCAGCAAGGACTCAAGAGGACCAGTCACCTTGGGCAAAGAGCTTGCTTTCCCTGTTCTGCTGGGGAGGTGAAGTCAGGACATGGGACTGGCTCAGCTGAGCTAGAGCCCATTGGGTTCCCTCTGCCCTGCTTCTGTGTACTCTGAATGACGGGCAGGGCTGGCACGTTCTGGCGGTTTCAGCCAGCTTGGCACGGGCTGTGTTACTTGCTGCCAGAGTAAACTCCAGAGGCTTCCTGCACTTGAAGGCAATCAAAGGATGAGCTAATTCCCAGGCCAGGATTACGCACTGACTCCTGTTCAATGTTCAAGCCTGCTCAAAGGAGGTGCCAACCACCCTCTGCTCTTGCTGACCTCAGCGGGAGCTGCAGGGGCCCAGCACCTGGCAAGGTCTAGCGCTGGGGCTGGTGGGCCCAGCTGTCTGTCACCCCAGCCCTCTTACAGCACACACCACTGCAGCCCTCAATTATTTATGGCTGTCTGTTGGCAAACTCCCTCTTGGTGCTGTCACTAGCCAGAGCTGTAAGCTGCAGGGATATCAGGGCTGGTGTCTGCAGTGCCTTTGGATGACTTGCTTTCTCCTCTCTTCCCTGACCCCTTGCCCTTTCCCAGCCTGGCAGTCTGCACTTTACCATTTCACACCTACCCTTCCCCAGCACTGACTTGTGACCTCCATTTAAGATTCCTTTTTAAACTTTCATCCACCTGGAGACTAACTCAGCTCTGACAGCAAGCTTTGCTGACTCAAAAAGAGGTTACTCGCCTCATATGGTTACTGTCTAAGCTAGGGATCCACAACGGACAGCCCGTGGGCTGGATCCCACCTGTGAAGAGTGTGGATTCATCCCACAGTGGCTGTGGAGGGATCGTGGCACTTGGTGGGGGGGCATTGGAGCATTCCCTTGCCACATTCCACCTTCCTCTCCCTTCCTTGCTTCTTCCTCCACTTACCATCACCACTGAATTCACTCCACTGTGCAGCCATCACCCATGTGAATCTGTGGCACTTCATGGCAATGGTAACCGGACACTTCATGGGGCACTTGCATGTGAGCGAGATCAGGGAGAGCAGGCAGCTAGCAACCCGTGGCAGCAGCCACGTTGCCAGTGCCAGCCCATCATCCGTAAAGATTGCCGCTACCTGGTTTAAGCTAACAATGCTGAACTTGCCTGCAGCAGGTCTGTCAAGTCTCCTGCCCTGTAAATACCGTGATGCTGACAAACCACTGTGTAAACATCAGAAAAAAACAGTGCAGTCTGCAGGGTAGGTTGACTCTGAAATACTTTCACGTCCTGGATTTGTGCCCAGGCGAGTTGCCAATGATGGAGCTGTTCTTTCTGCAGGTGATGAGACACGAGAACTCGAGCATCTTGGAGCTGGATGGAAAGGAGGTCTCGGTGTTCACTCCATCAAAGCCCAGGGAGAAGTGGCTGCGCAAGAGGACACACGTGAAACTCCGGGTAATGGTGCTCCCATTGCACTCTCCTGCAGAGGAACTGCTATTAAACATAACTGTATCGGATCTTGGCCTTTAATAAGAACAGTATTACATCTAACCAATGGAGGCACAAATCTACTACTGCCCATGCACTACACAGTGATACAGGGATGGAGAGACTTGGATTGCTGTAATTGCATGCAACAGCAGTGATGCATTTTGTTGGAGACAGATAGATACCCTAAGGATCTGGAAGAACAAGGTCTCCACTTTAAAGAGCGTCCATATAAAACACTAAAGATGTTGACTTTCGGGCAAGAGAAGGAGACCAACGCATGTAAAAGCCCAGTATCGTAAATTGTCTGTACAGTAAATGCCACTTTCTGGAGCTCCTGAGTCCAGAGGGATGATAAGAGGCTTTTCTGATTTCTGCAAGAGGGCAGCTCTTTTAGCCAGTAATAAAACAATGACAATAGATGTCTGCTGATGGTCATCCCTTTTGCCTTCTAATTCTAGAATATCATGTAGGGAATTTTGAACCAAGGTGGAGAGATCAAATTTTCAAGGTGTTCTGCATAACAGGCCATATGGTGTTTGCCACCAAAAGGGCTACGATAATAACACAAGAGAAAAAAATAGTGTCATTAAGTGTGTGTGGGTGCATGTGTGCTCACGCACCTGCATGAATTGAGGCTAAAATTTCAAAGGACCGCCTTTTTTTGCAGACAGCTAAGGCCAAGTGTAGATCCCTTTACAAACGTGCACAGCAGAAAGTCCTTGCAGGTGCAAATTCTACTGTACGGATGGCCAAGTCCACAGGTCAGCTCCTTGGCCACATGTGTTAGCTTTGCATGCACAACTGATTGTAGATGCACACCTGGTGGGCAAAAATTCTTTTGTCCAAAAAGAAAAACTAGGGGCAAACAGCCTTCAAGAATCTGTTTGTATAAGCACAACAGTAATCTTTCTTCATGTGTGATGCCATCATGAATGAATTTGGAAAGGTATTTAGGAGACCTGCCATGTATACATGTGTGTGCATGTGTGCGTTCATGTAAACTCTATATAAATGAAGTATGTGATGGGGGGAGTCTTTAGGAGAACCTGACTCCTAAAAACCCCTTGTCTATGTATTTGGCACTACTCTGATTACAGCATCATTTACTGGAAACTCATTATCTGGGAGGTTCTTCTGGAACTTTGACTAATTGAGTTTTCTTTTGCTCTTGATTCCTGCAGAATGTCACAGCCAACCACAGAATAAATGATGCCATTGTCAACGAAGATGGGCCCCAGACCTTGACAGGAAGGTTCATGTATGGCCCTCTGGACATGGTCACACTCACTGGGGAAAAGGTATTGTGGTCTTAAAAGTGCATTGCCCACAAAGGCAGCTACAGTTTGTAGCCAGAGGAGGGACAGTCCTTGATGGTGACACTTCTTTTGCCTGTTTGCAAGAGAGCTACCCATGCACCTCCACAGTTGAGGTTCTCTGGCTCTGTCAGGCTTTTTTTACCTGTGATGTCCTGCATCATACTAGAGAAGGACTTTAGGAGGCCATGTTTAGAGCCAGGCGAGGTTTCTTTCTAGCATCAAAGCTCCTGGCTGTCTAGAACCCCAGAAACCGGACCCCTCTAAATCTGCAGGACTGGAGCAGGCAGACAAAGAACCCAGACCCATTGCCCTTAATTGCAAAGAAGCTTGGATTCAAGGTCCCAGTTGGCCATTTCTACACTATCCGTGTTTAGACTTCATAATTAGTTCTGGGCTTTGTTTTCCACCCCCCAGGTGGACATTCATATCATGACCCAGCCGCCATCCGGGGAGTGGATTTATTTTGACACCGAAATCAGCAACAGCAGCGGCAGGATTTCTTACGTTATCCCTGAGAACAAGCGCTTGGGGATTGGCGTATATCCCATCAAGATGGTGGTCAGGTATGGAGAGAACCATTGCAAACATGGAAGCAGAACCCCGTTTTCCTGTGTTCAGTTCAATGCCTCAGCCACGACACTGAGCATCCTTCCCTGTCTGGGCACATCCATGAGTTTTGGGCTCCTCTTGGGCTGAGGTACAGACATCATGTGCCAGACCCTCCGCTGGCATGAATCTGCATAGCTCTAACATCAGTGGGATTACACTGATTCACATGGGCTGAGGATCCAGTCCCGAGAGGGCAGGTAGCGCACAACCGGAGGCTCAGGCTCATCGCTGATCACGACTCTTATGCGTGAAGCTCCCATTCTCTTTTGCGGGCACTCTGGGTGCGTGATGTGGCAGGATCTGGCCCTCCCTTCTGATTGTTGATGGGTGTACACCTCCCGTGTGGTGCTGTGAAAGCCGCTTGATTGTTCTTGTGTCTCTGTCAGGTTTCTCCAAGGTTCTCAAACACCTGTTCTTTCCCTTCCAGGGGGGACCACACGTTTGCAGACAGCTATATCACAGTTCTGCCCAGGGGGACGGAGTTTGTGGTCTTCAGCATCGACGGCTCCTTTGCCGCCAGCGTGTCAATAATGGGCAGCGACCCCAAAGTCCGAGCGGGAGCGGTTGACGTAGTAAGGTCAGTGGCAGGGCTAGGGGTGAGGAGACGTTCTGAACCCTAGAGTGACTACTGGTCCGTTACACGCTGTTGTTTTTTCCCTACTAGGCACTGGCAAGACCTTGGCTACCTCATTATCTACGTCACAGGGCGACCTGACATGCAGAAGCAAAGGGTGGTGGCGTGGTTAGCACAGCACAATTTCCCCCACGGGATAGTCTCGTTCTGCGATGGGCTCGTCCATGACCCGCTGCGGCACAAAGCCAACTTCCTGAAATCCCTCATTATGGACGTAAGCGTGGGCTGTGCTGAGACGATCAAAGGGAAGGGGTGAATCACAGATAATCCGTTTGCCCCTGCTTAGTCCTGCTGTTTTGGCAGAGGCCGACCCTGAAGTGGGAGATGAATCAGCTTTTATTTTACACCTTGCTGGGTTTTTTTTCTCCCTGTTCCACAAAAGTGTCTGTGCATTTAGTGTGTTGTCTCTATTCTGCGCTGTCCTGTTGCTGTCATTGCTACTTGCAGTGCTAAGTGCCTATTGAAACGGAGGGAATGATGATGGCTAAACTGCTCCTCCCTTACATTTAATCCCCTGCTTAATGGATTTCTGGAGGTTTGTCCTATTAGCAGTGGATCTGGGATGCATTACGTATGGAGGGTTGGTAAGAAGATTATGACCCTGAAGCAATCCAGAACTGAGAAGGCAGGTTTGCCCACGTATTAGACTGGAGCCAAACACCCCTGACAACTGGGAGAGTTTGGGCGGGAACCCCCGGCACTGGGGAGTGTTTGGACTTATTTTGAGGTGCTAATCTCCCACCAGTGTTCAGGCCCAGGGCTGTAGACTCATCTGTACTTGCAAAGATGGGCCAGGAAGTGCTCCGGATGGAAGACCTCTCAGGAACACCCCAGGAAAGAGCTAAGATAAATGATTTATGAAGCAGGGACCCATCTCTCAAACAGTAGTGGATGTGAGAGCCCTTCCCTCCCCTTACAGATATGCATGAACCATCTTTTAGATGAGGTACAGAGCCAATATATCCATTATTATGCTGGAAGTGCTGATCATTAAGGATTCCTTGGCATTTTCGCAAGAGAAGGCTTTTTCGCCTTGCTGTCTTGGCCAATTCCCAGCTCAGATGGTTACAGTCTGCCTCCCTAAACTTTGCCTCTAGTTGAATGGTTGTAAAGTCCTCTGAGACCTGCAGCTCAGGGGCATTACGTGAGTACCAGTGGATGCCTGTCATCGTCACGTTCATTTGGTTTGGCGGGCTGGTCTGGTTAGGCAGTGCTTTTCCGACTGAAAGAGACATTATATGTCTAACTCCCACTGCTTTGCAGGAGCTGGATGAGTGTAGGGTGATGTATGCAATGCTGGGAAGAGCATGCTTGTTTAGCTGCTGGAAGGGGGGCTTTGACTGAGCAGCGAATGTCATGGGAGGTGGAGGTGCCTCCCCCGTCCCTTTGTCTGACGCATCAGGAGCCCGCGTGTTGTCAAATAGTGATGATATAGCCACGGTGCAGTTTCCTTCTGCTGGATGATCTCGGAGTTCTTAATGGCTGTTCATCAGGCACCTTCACAAGACTTCTCCGAAGTCAGTGTATATCATCCTCCCTTTTACAGAGAGGGAAAAACGGAGACGAAGGAGTTGATGCATATTGTCAGACATCACAGAGAGGATCATTTGAAAAGCCAGGGTTAGAACCCAGGAGTCCTGGCTCCTAGTCTCTCGCTCAGACTATGGGATCACTGTCTTCCTCCAGCAGAGGCTGTACGTACTCTTCGTAGGTGTGAGGGCAGCCAGCAGACTAGCAAGGAAGTAAATCCAAGCAATACGTGCTTCTCAACACAAAGAGTAAAAGGGCACAGTCCAAACAGAGAGAGACCCGGGGCACAAGTCTGCAGGGCACAGGTTACTGCGCCTCCAATTAAATCCTCCCGTTCCCTCCAACTTGGCTTGGAAAAATAATTGCCAAGTTTCAAAGCACAAGCTTCCAGGGAAACCATATAGTGCAGTGCATGGAAAAGTAATAGAAAGGCACCAGCTTTATGGCACACAGTTAAACCCATAGGTGGCCAAACAGCAACCAAGATGCTGCAGACCATGAAGAATGAAGTACAAAATACTGCTAAGACTTTGGTTTTGCAGGCCAGGACGGTGCAGACTTCCCCTTAGGGCGCCTGTGAGGTCAGATCATCTGATATTAGCTGTCTCTAGTTGGAGACAAGGGAGTTGGAGCCATATGTAGACCTGCAGCTTGGGTGCAGGATGACCCAGAAGGGGGATGTGCTGTCTACTGAATGTAGAAGAAGCTTTAGCTTCCAGGGAGGGAAAGAAGTTGAGGATGTTGCCCAGAATGTAATGAGGAGCTGTGGCTTCAGAGGCAGTTAGAATAAGGACATGTGCGCTGAATATGAGGAAAACGTCTTGGCCAGGAGCTCTGCTCGACTTATCAACAGCCTCCCAGGAGAAGCAGTGGAAGACTCTCGGCTTGTGACATTTAAAACTGTGAACTGGGCTGAATACCAGAACAGATGCTAACGGGATTGATCCTGCGTTGGTCTCTGTGATTGAACTATCCTTCCGCTTTAGGTCTTTTCCATCTCCCATCGCGGCACGTCTGCAGAGTGCGGTTTTGGTGACCGAGTCCCATGATCAACGCTCCCTCTCAGCTGCGTGGCGTGCGCAGCCATGCAGGCACGCTCACGCCGCACTGCCAGGCATGTCTGCCCGGCCGCGCACACCACACAGCTTAGAGGGAGCACTGCCCATGATGTGGTATCTGGTGGGTTTATTATGGGGTCTTTGCTTGCCATCGTTTTCCCTTCTCTTCCTGTGATCGATCTGGGTTATCTCATGGTCACTGCCAGGACCCCAAAGCTACCTACTTCAGTGAAACACGTTCCAGTATTTCTTATCCCTCTTAGTCCTTGAAAGCACAGGAGCCTGTTCTCGAGTACGGACTGCAGCTCCTTTTTGATTCAGCTTCTGTTTTGAAAGCTGGGTCCAAAATCTCAAGCTTGAGCTATCCCAGAGACCCTCTTATTACAGCAGACGCTGAACTGCTATCTTGTTGGAAACTTGACCTTGCTAGAGGACAGCGAAGTCCATACATCTGTAGCTGCAGGTCTTTGGACTGCTTGCAGCTCTGGAGGAGAAGTAAGAGCGGTCCGCACTTGGCACCAAGCTGAGCTGCTCCTCCTGGAGAATCCCCCCTGCTTTCTGCCACCTTCTTTGCTGCAAAACAATCTTTTCTAGTGTTTGGCCAAAGGCTGAATTAAATCTTCTGTTTTGTGGAGAGCCAAACCTGCCCGTTAAATCAAGTAACTGCCGATAGGTGACAGGGAGATGGGCATAGTTGCTTAGGCTGAGCTCCCAATAGCCCCACCAAGTCGAACAACAGCGTTGTGTGCTGCAGTTTCTCAGCGGAAGAAAAATTCTCCGTGTAAATAGTTATAGCAGAGAGTTGCAAAACACTCCCTCGCTGGCAGCATTGCTGATAAACTCCCCCTGAAGCAGACCTCAAAGAAAGGCCAATGCTAGATAAACACAGATCTATTTTCCTAGCGGTCCCTAACCCCGTGCAGCCTTTGTAAACACCTTCAGCTGTTGGTTAACTATTGCACGGCTCTGCGGTGCGTTTTCCAGCTGGGTCTCACATACATTATTGACCTGATAGATTCGTGCAGTCATGATGCAAAAACAAAAATGAGCAGAATCCCAGTGTAAATCCATTCTGAACGAGATCCTCTCCTCTCTTCCCACAGCTCCACATGAAGATCCACGCAGCATATGGATCCACTAAGGACATTTCTGTCTACAGCTCCATTAATTTGCCCCCTACGCATATATACATCGTTGGCCGACCAACCAAGAAGCTACAGAGTCAGTGTCAGGTAGGAACGTGGTCTTATGAATCCATTTTATTTTGTCCAGAGACAACTGAAGTGCCTGCTGCTGCTCTTCTTGGAGCTGAGGGGAGCTTCAACGGCGACTTCACCAAGAACAAGATCGGACTTTGTTTTTGTAGAGGAAGTTGCCTGAACCTCAGACCAAGATCCATCCACGTCCCCCACAAGGGGTCTGATGGTTTCTTTGCTTTACGTATTGCCATTTTGGAAACGTGGAGAAAATGCCGCTTGCTGTTCAGTGGCCTTATGCTTTGTAGTGTGATATAATCAGAAACCCACTTTTGATTTCCCATCTGTTTAAATCCCCTCCTCCTGTCTCCAACTCCCTGCAGTTACCCAAGCTGAGCAAGTAAGGGCAGGGGTGGGGGGAGTTCTGGTTGTTCATCAAGGTCATGTACTTCTGTGCATTTGCTGGCCTCGAGCATCACTATTGCTGCTTCCCCGGTAGAAGTCAGGTGGCCTTCTCTGCGGTGTGGGAACGCCACAGAAACAGCCGTAGTGAGAAGAGGAAAAAAAGCACAGCTGTTGGCAGCTTGGACTGGAGGGCCCGGGTGGTAGCTGAATTGGCTGCGACTCCCTTTTGTTCACAAGCAGCTCTGTTTCGAGGTGACCCTGGCCCTTATCTGCTGGGTAATCCTGTTGTTTTTTTGCAGTTCATTACGGAAGGGTACGCGGCCCACCTCGCCCAGCTGGAGTATAACCACCGCTCCCGGCCGGCCAAGAACACCACCCGAATGGCCCTGAGGAAAGGCAGCTTCGGTCTCCCCGGCCAGACCGAATTTCTGCGCAAGAGGAACCACCTGCTCCGCACCATCTCCTCGCAGCCCGTGGGGGCGAGCGGGGCTGGCCACCGGCCCGAACGCACGCAGAGCCAGTCGGACAGTGACAAGGAGAGGGAGCGGGAGCGCAGCCAAAGAAGCATGAGCATTGCCACGGGGTGCTGGGGCCGGAGCGCGGTGATCAAACTGGAACCTGGCGTTTTGGGTCAGAAGTAGAGCCAGAGGGAAGCCAGCAGCGGTCGGCCACGGCCGCCAGAGGAGGAAACAAAAGGAAGGAGGGACAAGGCCAGCGGTGTGGGCCAGAAGGGTAAATATGGTGCTACTCTCTAACAACACGGTGTTTGGGGAGGAAACGAGGACGTGTTTCCCACATGGAACGTGCAGGCCTTAACACGGGGCATGGGGTTCGTGGGGCACCAGCCCGAGAAACCGTTTGACACTAGGGATCTGAGGAGAAAAAGAAAACAGACAGTCTCCAGGTCAAGACCTCGTGCTCTCCTGCCTCCTCCTTTTATCCAGGTTTAGCGACTGTATATATGTGCCTCCTCACCTTCGTAGCCATCGTTCAGATACACGTGACTGAGTGCGATCCTCAGTGCCGTGGGGGGCGGCAGGGGGCAGGCCCAGCGGAGCGTCTCGTGGTGGTGGTCCCGTTATCTGGACTGACACGCAGCTGAACTGCAGCACTCCTGTTTTGTAAGCATGCCGCTGCCAAGGCACAGACGCGCAAGCAAGGGGCTTCTCCTGCGTTGGACGGAGCGGTCAAGCGCTTTACGTGTATCGAGAGCTTAGAATTTATCCCCGTTCTATCCAGGAGCACATGCCTCGGCAAACCATTAGCGGCATGTCTCAGCCTGTTGGGTGGAACAGTCTGTCGGCACGTTCGTGCTCAAGGAAGTGGGGCCCTTGGTTTTCATTCTCTCTCTTTTTTATTTTTAAAGACTTATTTTGGAAGCTGATGTAACTTGTTGCATTGACCTATTGCAAAAGAATACAAGCTATTTTATTTTAGCTGTTAAAAACCTCAGCCACTTAAATTACTGTATATTAAATCCTCCAGATATTACTGCTGTATATGATTTCAAAAATGAACCACCATCTATTCCCAAGGGACCGCAAAGGTGCGGCAGCTAGATTGCACTGCAGTTCGTGTCATCGCAATGCAGGGTCCAAATCTTTCACCCCGCCCCACCCCTGAGACCTTTCTTTATTCCAGGTTCTCCCCAAGTCCAGCAGCAGCTTTCACGGGAATTCAACTCGCTTCTTCTAATGGTAGTTATTCAACTGTAAAACCTCATTGTTTTTGCACTGATAATTTTTAGAATGGAGACCTGTTACCATCTCATGTAGCTACACCTCGCTGTTTGTAGTGCATGACAATTAAGTATAGCTAAGCCAGGGTGTATATATACCTAGAATTTTTTGTGCAAAAGTTTTTCAGCAGTAAGGAGACTGGAAGGAAGTGTGCCAGCAGAGTCGTGCAAGCGAAGGAAAAGGCCATATCTTAATTTTCCCAGCTCTGCGGTTGGCGAGTGTGTCTGAGCTAACACTGCCCTGAACTCGCATCGTGGTGTGTCTCGTGCGGAGTACAACGCAAGGGGCTGGGAGTGCTGCGGAGGTGGCAGTTGCAGGCTGCAGGGCAGCGCGTTGCGTTGCTTCCCAGCACCCCCTAGCGACCGCCGCGGAAAAGGAGATGATCAGCCAGAAGGTACAGAACAAGGGAGCGTCATTTAACAGGCAGCAGGGAATGGTGCCCAGCATGAAAGCCCCGCTAGCCCTGCCTCTCCTTGGTCAGACCAGCCATGATCCTGGATTTCCAGCCTTGGTGAAGGACGCTGGCTCCTTCTTGCACACACCAGCCAAGGAACAGGAAAACCCTTCTGAGGAACCCGGGGCTCCCACGTAGAGGTCACCGTGGGCTGATTTCACGTGAAGATTTTATATTAGTTCTGGGTTCGTTGGCTAAGTGCCCACCCCCGCTTCCCTCTGCCACAGTACCCTGTGTTTGTATCGCTTTCTACTTACAAGAACCTTATTGAGAACAAGAAGACTTTTTTTAGACTGGCTGCTTCACTTTCTTAACTCTTTCAATCCTACGTGCAGCTCTTCTGCACCGAGACACACAGCACTGTGAACACTGCTCTGCTCACTGGCGCGGAGCCTGGTAGGCAAACATAACTCATGCAAGCATCCCAAATCGATCCCATGACTTCTGAGGCCTCAAGCTTCAGGACTGACTTAGAGTCCGCGCTCGGTCCACGCGGTGGTGGAGTCAGAGCAGCTCTTCGCTACCGAGAACATCCACGTGGAGGGAGCTTCGAAAAAACAGAAAACCCACCACAAACACAGTGCATCTTTCTCACATGTAGGTAGTCTGACTGTCGTCTGAAGCCACTCATGTTTGATAAGTACTATGCTACAGAACATACCTACTGGTTTTTACTACTGAAAAACTGACTTCCCTTTCTCGTGACTCAGCCTAGCTACCTTGAATGTACGTCCAAAGCTACTGGATTTAAAAATAAAAAACCATCATAGCGTTTTGCTAGCTGAATATTGACCTCTGCCATAGAAGCCGGCCGCAGCCCCTCCTGTGAAGCATCCAAAGCAGGGTCACAGCATATTTGCAAATTTGGATATGGCCTTTACGAAGTTTTAATCTTCCTCTGAAAGCAGAGTCCACAAACCGAGGCATGACGTGTACATTTTTCAGAACGCAGGTGAGATTTTTCTGGTGTGTAGATAGTGTAAAGCGGAGGCTCATGTAAATGTTACAAAGTGGGTATATACAAAGTGAAAGTTATTTATTTTATGTAGAGAAAACACAACGTCTGGAGGGAAGAGAACCTTCAGGGTTTATTAATATTTAAACAAAAAATGTAGCTTTTTTGTTTCAGGCATTATGTACAAAGCAATTATTTTATGGACCAAGTTTAATGTAACTGTCAATGAATGCAGAAGTGCAATATTCCAATCACCTCGTCATCGCTCCGTAATTGAAACAAATCGGGAAGACTGACAATCATAGCACCTCCGTTCTGACCCTTTGTTAAGCTTCTTGAATTTCCCACCCCTCCTTTCTTGGTTTCCACTGTACGAATCCATACGGAGAAGCAATCGTAGAGCAGAATCTTTGTTCGTCACTGCAATAATATCAGCTGATGTGGGTATGTATGACCAGGAAACACGCCACTAAGGGTTTTTTTTCACCCGTTCAGTGCATTAGCGTTCCACATGAATCTATCTTCACAAACACCCCCATCTTGCATTTCTATAGCTGAAGCAAAGATCAACATTATTACTACTCTGACAACAATAGCAATAGTTTACCTTTGTGTTCATAAACTCTTTGTCCTGAAACGTTTTGGAGAGTGATGCATGTGAAACAAAATGCCTTTCCAAAGGCCCAAAAGAGGATCCATGTGGATACAGTTGCGAAAACATGAATGTATTTCCCGTTCTTATTAAAGGGCCGCTGTCAGGTGAAAGGCCGTCTTTGCCATTAGCACCAGTAACTTTAGGTTCAAGCTTCAAGAAATTATTGGAAGCGTATCGCCCGCTTCGCTCCTTATGCATTTGTCAGCTCAGCCAATGGAAAAAAAAATACTAGTTTTACTAAATAGCACTTCCTAGGTCTCACTCACTAGCACAACACTGCAATACTTGTACTGCAGGCACTGCACAGGATTATTGGGCTGGGGTTTTTGTTTTGTTAAATGGCTTCCACTGGAACCGAGCTTTCAAGGAAACGTTTCTGTGTATTTTAGGCTTTATAAAAAGCAGCTTTTTTATATCATCTGAACGTTGGATTGGAATTGTTTTTTGCTTTAACCTGACACTGCCCCTTTAAACCAACCCCAAACTTTTCACTTTGGTTCCTTCCTTTCTTCTTTTGCTAACTCCTGAGTTTAAAAAAGGCAAAGTTTTAATACCAAAAACGTTTACAGTGTTAGAAACCGCGTGAGAGGCAAACCAGTAACTAACCAAAGAGTTACTAGCAAGCTCCTGCTCCTCCCACAAGAAACCTGCACTTAGGTTATAGCCCCTGCTCTTCAGGTATCTTCGCCTTTGCCGCATTTTCCTATTAGTTCTAGAAGCCTTACATTTCTCCTCCCTCTGGATGTCGCTATCCTTGACTGTCGATTTTCTATTCAACGATGTTCGTTACATTTTATTTATAAATACTCGTTTTAGGGAAACAGATTGGGGAAGGGGGAATCTTCTTCCTGGCTTGATCTGCAAGAGGGACAGATACCTGCATACCGCCAGGGAACCGGTTAGACCCGAGTCTACTTCATCCTGGTTTTCATTCTGTGTATTCTGTCGTGTGTGATGATACTGTTAAGATCTTAACTTGCTCGTATGTGATGGCCCATACCTACCGTACCACTTCCTTCTCCTCCTTGCTGTTAGCGCATTGTTCTAATGCCTGGGTGTGCTTTGTGTACAGTATCATTGTACGTTACACAGATTAAAGAACTGGGAAGGCGACTTTCTGCGTCTGCTTCTTTTGGTGGCTTTGCGAGCTGGGGGGGGGCCTAAAAATGAGCCCGTTGAATGCAAGTGTCCAATTGGCGCTGGGCAGGAGACGACCACAGGGGCTGGAAAAACGAGATGCAGGCACCCTGCACCCAGAACGGCAGGAGAGGAGCTATGGCCAGAGTGCGGGCAATGATGAGAAGATGGTAATTGGGCTGGGGGGAACAGGGAAAGGCATGTGATTCAAAAGCACCTGGGTCCATGATTCTGCAGCTCTCTGGGTGCCTTGAGATCCCGTCAAGGGGACCGTGCAATGTAAGCACCGTTAGGTGTGCAGACACAACTCCTACGCTAAACCTGGAGATTTCAAACAGGAATCCATCATGTTAGGTGCATTCTGCCCTGCCGTAGGCTTCCCGGAGTTTTTTTTTTTTTGCAAAGGAATTGCTCTAGTGTTTTTGTGCAGTCACGATCTGAGTGAAAACTAAGAGCTGCCACTTTGAGGGGGCCCTGGAGTCTTGTGCCAGCTGCCTCAATATAAAAAGGTTGAGAACCACTGCCCCAGGCTGTACCCTCTGGACAGGCTGCTGGTAAATTCAGTAGGGGAAATCTGCTACCTGCAAAGCCTCCAAGAGCCAAAGCCCGGCTGATTCGGGGACTGTGGCTCGCTCTGTCGTACAGCCTGCTTGCTCAGGGTTGCTACCTTATGCTAAACTGCCCAAGAGGCTGGAGAGCCCTTCCCTCTCCCTCCCCCGTGTGTGGACTGTACCTGG